TTTCGTGTCATAACCCCTTTAACTACCCACTAGGGGCGTGACGCTCGAATCTCTGATCGTATAGAATAGTCAATTGTAGAAATAAAACCTTTGGCTATGCTACGCAATGCCAGAAAATATCTGAAAGATGCTTGTTGTCCTTAAGGTTATCCTCATTATTGAGTTTTAACTACTACATGCAGTTTATCGGACTTCTCATTAGAAAATTTTGAAACGCTCATGAATGCGGACAGGTGTGTTTTGAACTCCATACCTGTTTCGGGACGCATTTCTCCCTCTACTAAAATTAATTACCCCTTAAAGGCTCTTTCCCGCATTTGCCTTTTGCTATGAACGAGTACTTGGGCGCAATAGCTGATGGCTCGTTTAAAACATTTCTGGAAAAAAAAGTCTGCTTTACCCCGTCCTGTTTACAAAAAAAAAAAAAAAATCCAAGGTGTTGTCAAAAAGTTAAAGGTAGAGTTAAAACAAAACATCTGTGCTGCCGCCACGCTGATTCTCGAAGAAACGCGCGAACTGGGTATTAATACGAAAGCATGGTGAATGAAGCCTTTCAGCTTGTTCTCTCGGGGTAAACAATCCTGAAATCCCTCTTCTCGCTGGTGCAAGCAGATCAGGTCACTTAGCGTGTTCATAAAGGACCGGTGCGTGACGCGCGGAAAATGACAGATTCATCTTGTTGTTGTGTATACAAGTTGTGCGTAAAGGGACGAAGGCAATAATTGTCGCAAAAACAACGCACTTTTGTTTCTTTTTTTTTGTCTTTTGCGGGAGTGCTGTGTCCGGTCATCAGCTCTCAAGCGCGCGCTCGCCGGTTGAGTCGTAGACCGGGCTGTACGGGCAACGATCCGCGAGGATTCGAGATATCACTCTGTGGTTCCACTTTCGGAGGATCCTTCGCCTGCTTTTGGCTGATAGTGGTCCTCGTTTCGGAACATGCTCCTCCCATCGCAGATGATAAAATCGGTGTGTTGCGATCTTTGACTGTTTTTTTTTTTTGTTAGATATTAAACTCGACCGCTTACCGTTATGGTTTAGGGACTTTTAGGGTGCTAGAGCCAACAGAGTGAGTTATCTAAATATTTAGGCGATCTCAAGAACCTCCTCAGACCACCTTTAAATTAAAACCACGTGCAAGACGGTTTTCACGTGCGTGCTCTCAGACAGGATGCAGTATGCTTTTGTTTTTACGTACTTAGCTGCGTAGAAAATTAAAATGATCTAAATATCACTTTTAGAGTGTTAAAATCCATAACTTTCTGTGCAACAAGCCGAGAAAATGTTGGATGCAACTCACAAACAAAATTGACCCATAAAAAGAACTACCGCCGAACAAAGTAAAAATTAATGACCTATATTACTTAGCCACGGATCTTAATAATTACATCAGATCTTTGTTCCTTCTCACTGATGAACAGACGGCAGTATTCCGAGGTGTGGGCATTAAAGTGCAAGACCTTATTATTAGTGAGGAGGGAACTTTGACCGAGCCAGTGGATATACCGAAAGCATTTCTTTAGAGGCTGGACGAATGATATTAAAAATTCCTCTACATTATATTTAAAAAAAAATTATACTAAACGCAGAAGTTTAGGAAAATTGGAAAAATGCGAAATTCGCCCCCATCCATAAATGGAGAAGCATTTTGCCTTTAGGTACAGGCACATTTCTTTGATGCGTACTGCAAGCGAAGTAATAGGAAATTCTATCTTTAAACATATGAGCACTTTTCTTGAAAACAACAACTTTGTTTCGAGCAGTCAACACGGATTACGACGTGGCCTTTCAAAAGTCACCCAGCTACACCACACGAGTAATGAATGATTTTTTCTCAATTCTGGACAGGGGTAAAGAAGTCTATGTTTTTTTGTTTATTTTTTTGTAATTCGAAAGAAACTTTTGACCTGGTATCTTATCATAATATAATGTTAAAACTCCGGTACTTGCTAAAAAAATGGGGCGAAACTGCTGCTGCGACGATGCTGATTCTCGAAGAAATTCGTGAGCATTACGCGCAGTGGTTATACATAAGAAAGTATGGTGAATGCAGCCTCTGAGCTTTTATCAGCGGGGTTAACATTCTCGAAATCCCTTTCTTCCCTGGTGCAAGCAGATGAGGTCAATTAGCGTGGTCATGAAGGACTTGCACGCGGTGCGCTGAAAATGACATATTTATTACGTTGTTCTGCATGCATGCTTTGCGTAAAGGAGAGACGACACCGTGCGTCTACGGTCCGGCGACATGGTAAGACGACGGCGCGGCAAGAAAGGCGTGGCAGTCCAAAGGACGGAACCGCAGCCCGTGTGTGTCGACGCGTCTCCAAGGCCGGCGGCAGGTATTTCCGAGGACGTCGATAGCGCACAAACGCACGCCGGCCTTCTCACGTAACACCTGGCAATCCAGGTGCAGCGGGGGACAGCGGGGATAGGGCGTACTTGGATCGCCGGCGGGGCGCCGCGAGGCGGCGGATACGATTGGCCCGAAGAAGGCAAATATATTGCGATCACCCATCCGTAGACTGTTACCGCAAAGTGGCGTGAACGGGGCGGGTGAAGGGGTGTGTGTGTGGGAAGGGGGGGGGGGGGGGGGGGGTTGACACGCACCCCAGTGATGCACCCGCCGTCCCCGACTGCGCGGCGCCGAAATTATCGAAGGCGGACGTCGCCGGCGATATTCAGTTGCTAGGCGTCACCTGGGACTGTGGCTCCATCGCGTGGCGAAGTTGCAAACTTTGAATATATGTTCTCCAACGAGTCCAAGGTCACCGCATACGACAGGGCACTCGTGATAATGCATTAAAACGAATCAGCCATCCAATGGTTCGACTTCTACCTATAACAGAAGCTGAAATATGTTCAGGTAGATAAAACAAAGTCACCCCAGCACCAGTGCTTTCAGGTGCTTCGTCTTAATTTAGTAATATGATCTAGTATGCACCTCTACTGTATGCCCCCGTTTCTTTGCAGACGACTGTGTTACGTATCTAAATATTGAGTCAAATATCCAATTAATTCTAAGCGATTACCTAGCAGACGTCGCCAGATTATTTAACTACTGGCAAATCAGTTCAAATACCGCTAAATGCAATAAATAGGCTATTACACTTAAGATAACATTCATTTAAGTTGACACACAAAATCAATATTACTGATAGTATTACTGTCACGCAGATTAAGTACTTAGATAATAATGTAACTTCAAATTTAAATCCAAAGCTCAAATTAACAGCGTTGTTTCGGCTGCCACAAAAAAGATTATGGCTGCTAAGGTATTGTTTAAAACATGTCAATAGTAAATCAAAGTTGGTGACGCACACATACCTCGTACGACCACTACTAGAGTAAGTACGGCGACACTGTCTGGGACTCCCACACAAAATCAAAGGAAAACTGCATTGAACACGTTAAAAAAAATCACTTCACTTCGTTTACAAAGTTTACGGTAGAAACGCCCCTGTAAACCGCTTTGTGGTCTCTACTTCGAAATAGACCCTTTGCGAAATACAGGCTGGCTACTTGATCAATATCATCATAATCTGAAAAAATGGCATATGTGTCGTACTAATGGAGGTCTTCAGTTTATTATTGAAGGAAAAGATGAAGATGCTCCGAAGCAGATGATTGGAGGCCTATGTTTATTCGAGACGTCAGCACGATGCGAAGCATGAATTGACTGCAAGAGCTGCGTAAGCGTTCATTTCTAACTCGGGCTGAGTCAATCTGTTAGGAGCACACAGTCGGCTTCAAAGCCCCTTGATGCATTAAACTTCATGAAGGCGTCTATGCGGCTTGCCACGCCGTTCTGACTGGTTGCATTTTTTTCTCCATTAATACAAAATGAGATTGAGAAAGAGCTTTAGAGTGGATAGTTCATTCTCGTTTGTAGTTGACTTCCGAAAGTGACGGTGTCCGATAAAATACCGCAGACTACTGGTTCATAGCCGCCATTAGTGCGGCAAAAGATGAGGTGCCATTTTAGCCACAAGATGGCACTGAACTTAGAAAAGGGTCTATTCCGTCGCGTTTCACCCTCTCATGCTCCTCTTTAAAATAACTGTTAATCAGACAGGACTGAAATTTTGTGACTATATGCAGTTTGACACAGCTCAGCAGACTCAAAATAAGCATAGTGCGAAAATATTGATGCCCCAATGCAAGACAAACGTATATCGGTTTCTATATTTCTCAAGAACGATAACTGAATGGAACGATTTCCCGGGTGACGTGGCCGGTACAACATTTCGTAGTTTTGTTTGGTATATTCTATTGATGTCTACTTGCGAGTGAAGTGCGCTTATTTCATTTGTGTTTTTTACCACTATTGTAGGTTGTAAACCAGCACCATCCCGCTAATTTTGTCATATTAATTCTTAGGGTCACTGCTAATTTCGTTCTTTCTTATAGGCCGGTATCTCGAATGTAGACGATTTTTAATCTTTCCATTGACTGATGTAATGTGCCTCACTGGTTACTTTGTTTCGTACATTTCTGTTCATGTCATCACGAGATGACCTCCCTTATATAAATTTCATTGATGTAACCACCCCTGCCCTGGCTGCCAAGAAGCAGCAGACGGAATGAATTAAATAAAAATAAATGCAAATATATATATTGCACATAGCCGGGGCGAGAACTAGGTTAGACTACAAGTGTTTTACACGTTCCCTAAAAGAAAAAAAACAACTAAATACCGTTACTTGTTACTTCATAAATTAAAAAAACAAAATTACGTTACTCGTCCGTTCTCTTAAAAAAAACTGGGTCGTAACTTCGTTACCGCCAAAAATGTAACTAGGTACAAGATGCGCTCTACTTGTAACGCGATGTGTGGAAGTTGATAAAGGCGAAATACCCTCCATTTTAGAAAAAAAAATAAGTTTTTCTAATAGGCTTTTGGCGAATTTCGGTAATTTTCCCCGTCATAATTTGTCCCCACGTTGCCTAATGAAACGTAGAATTGTTTGCAAACGGTTTGTTGGATCTTTCTTTTCCTTGTACAGGCCAGGCGGCCCGGGCAATGTACATGAGAGTGGTGGCGCTGGAGAACCCGTCGGTGACCGTCCTCTGTTACAATCCTGGGCCGGTGGACACGGCCATGCTGAGACAGATGCAAGGCGGCAGCGAGGACTGCGTCACTCGCTACGAGAGTATGCATATTTTGTGGCTTAACGTCTTGGGGATACGAACTCATGCTTTGCAATCCTGGGGCATTGCTGGCAATTTGGAGGGATCGGTGGCTAAGGGTGATAGTGCAATGTGGATCAGGAACGCGTGCAACGAAAAGCTCGAGCTGTAGAAACCAGGGATCCTGGGTTCAATCCGCATTCTTTCCCGTTTAGAACTGGATGAGCATAGTACCGGCTTGTGCTCGTGTGAGACTACTGAGTGGTGCACGTTAAAGGCCCTATTCTAGCGGTTGTACTTTACTGGTACATGTTTCATCTATAGCTGGACACCCGACGCCCACTGAGGCTGACTAACTTACGGCTGTGAAAACATACACAGAATACAGTAGCGTTTTGGCCGAGTGTGTCAAAGCACCGCAGCTAGGAGCACCTGGAGAGAAAGCTCGCCCTGCAGAACCTAGGAAATCAGAATTCAATCCCTGCCTCTGCACGTTGTCATCTGAAGTATAGTCCGTTCACACTAAAGTGGTACTACGTGATGTTTTTTAGCTTCCCAACTAACTATATTTTTAGAATCCTCGTCCTTCACCCTTTCCAGTTTGCTATTTAATATCGCAAAATTCATTATAGGTATTGTGAAATCGGCAGATGAAAAAGATCCGATATTCAAATATTCAAAAACCGATATCCAAATATACCAGCAGTTTTGATTGCCGTGACGTCAGTGGCAGGCAGGCTTGCCAGACGAACAAGCAGTAAACAAATTAACCATGCCAACCATTTGTTCCGTGCTCGAGCGCGAATACTGAAGCAAGGTTTTGAAACATTCATTTGACATTGTGAAATTGCTTAGAATCAGTCGGCAAGAAATTGTGTGGTCCAAAGAGTGAACCCCTGCCTTCCACGCATGGATGGATGGATGGATAACGGCTGTACCCCTTATATCGCGCGGTAGCTTGCGCCACCTAGCCTATAAATTAAAAACAAAATTATGATTTTTCCTTCACAACATCGCTTATTTTCTGCAATTTCATTACTATCATCAGGCGGTGTGGGATATCATCGGGGAAAACTTGGAAATCGGGCAGAAAAAATTAAAACAAACTCACCCCCCGCTTTTTTCCCCGGCGAAGGAGTCGCCAATTTTCCTCTGGCCAAACTTTGTCGGCGTTACCTCGTCACTGAGCCCACTGGAAGACAGGGTACAGACTTTGAGCCGTAACCACGCGGGAAGGAATCCCAATTTTCCTCTGTCCCGTTTATCCCCAGCACATTCAGTTGTACGTCATTCAATTCCCCCTAGATAATTTCCGACAGTCTTCCAATCTCCTCTTTGTTATTAAAATGCACTTATCATCCATTCTTACATTCCGGCCTGCAAACCCGAGCGCTTCGGCTAAATCCGCGTCCAACTGCGGGATGGCGGGAACTAACTTCGGGCACCTCAACACCACATGTTCTTTTATCTCGTGTGTCCTTGTCATACAGCAGACCGTGTGTGCATTTACTCAGAATTTCTACTATATGTCATAGTCCTCAATACTCCTGTTCTAGGTTCAAAAAACAAGCTCCCCCGTGAATTATCCTACCAATGTTCTTTTGATATTTTCTGTTTTCGTCCCCTACACATAGTTAAGGCTGATCTTGCCTGGATTTTTTCATCCCAGATCTTCTTTTCGGCGGCATGCTTTACTTTGTTTCTCGCAGAGGTAGTCTGTTCTTCCCCCGCACTTGCTGTTGATATCTGAATTTTAGTTTTCGGGGTCAGCTTGTCCATTTAGTGTTCAAACTTTTTATGTATAGGTGCTTATATACCTTTCTCGCTCATCGCGCATCGCGAATTGTGTCCAGTTTTTGTTCGAATTTCAACTTACTGATCGCCTCCCTAGCCTCGAAACATGTTCCAGCCCATGTTCCCCTTCTCTCCTTCATTTGGCGTATTCCCATGCGCCCCCTGTGCCAGTCTGCCCACGCTACTCTGCCGGGCCTTTAAACTCGTCTGGACCTGAGATGGTATGCATTGCCAAAGGACAGCCTCGGCATCATGACTCCTTTCGATATTACCCTAACAACTTTGTATCTGTTGTAATTAAATAGTGCCCTATGCTTCATAATTGCTGCATTTAGTTTTCGTTTACTTCGCATATTCTCTTCTTGTTCTTCTAGGTAATATTTTTCCTCGTTCAGCAGGTATTCATACTTCTCTACGTGCTCTATTAATCATCTGGAATGTTCAGCGGGTTTTCCTTCTCATCGTTATATACCATTATTTCCGACTTGTCGCTCCTTAATTTCAGGCCCAGAGGGTCTCCTTCTCCACCAGAGCTCTTAATTAGCTCCTGTAGCCTACCCCGGCTATCTGCTTACAATACAATGTCGCCTGCGTAGAACATTCCTGGTATAACTTGACCTACTTTTCCCCCTCTTTCCATATATGACACATCAAAACCTAAATTGCATTCTTCTCATTTATTCTTCATTTTACTTAAATAAAACGTAGGGGTGATAGGGGACAATCCTGCCTGAGTTCTCTACTTATTTCTGCCGTTTTTTTTTATTTCTGCTGCCCATAATATGACGACCTCATTATTTCTGTATACCTGCTGTAAAAGCCTAATGAAAGGTAAATCTAAATAATGTTTTTTCAGCTGTACCAAGAGGTCCTCCTGACTTACATTGTCGTACGTTCTCTTAATGTTTAGAAATGCAATCTATAACGCTTTATTATTTACTCATCAGTAGCACATTTTTACATTGAGTGTTGATGAAAAAGCTATCATCCAGCCTTCTATCTCTCCCGAACCCGTTCTGTAGCTCACCTAAAATGTTTTCGGTCTATTCTTTCACTTTTTTTACTACCTGCATCGTTAGCTTGTACAAGACCGAAGTTACTGTTATTGGGCGCAAGGATGTTGCTCTCCTTATTTGCTTGCCTTCATAAATCTCATTCTGCTTTGTCTCCAATCATTGCGTGCCTTTTCACACATTAATACTTTATCAGATACATTCTTAACTTTAATTTGCTTTTTGTTCCTAGTGTCTTGACTCGTTTGATTCCTCTGCCATCTAGGCCTGTCGCCATTCCTACCGGAACTTCACTTTCTGCTCTGTCCCATTTTCCCATGGTCGTCTCAGTTGTATCGTTAGCGTTCTCGCCACGTACCGCGTTGCTGTTTGCGTTCTGTCCAATCTCGTTGGTTGAAGTTCTGCAAATTTTGCCTGGATTGTTCGTCTAATGAGTTACCTTGCCTCCTCACCCTCTACACTCATCTCTTCTTTTGTGGTCAATGAACAAGGGAACCCTTCTGTTCTTTTTCCCTGTGCATTAAAGTGCTCCCTCAATTTTTTTGCTGCATTCATATCATTTTAATTTACCTCCATCATCCACTGCAGTCTAGCTCTAGACATATTGGTCTAGATTAGATCAGATACCTTTTTGTTTCTTTCCTGAAATGTGTTCCACTTTTATCCTTACTCAACGGGTGTGCCCCCCTTTCTTTGCCCATCTGTGTTCCCGTGAGGCCTCTTGTCGCCTTGCTTTTGCCTTGTTAACTTTACTGTCCCACTATCATTTTGGTATGTATTTCCTTCTTCATATTCCTCTTTGGTTGATTTTGAACTTTTCTAACATTCTTTTATAACTAACTACATCGTCATATGTCTATACTCTCTCCAGTTGTGTGTACGCTATCGTCTCAATTCGTTCTAATACTTCTTGCAGTTGGGCATCGTTTGGGGTCGAAATACTTTCTCGTTCAAGAATTTGTTTTTCGGGCTCTGCTGCACAAAACTTTGTTTTTGCGTCGCTTATGATCACTTCCTAAGATTTTCGTGCTTTCCTCATCTATTTCAATGTGTCCTAATCTGCTATACAACTTGCCAGACCTTAGACAGTAATGAATTGTTATTTTACGTCGCATTTTACATAGGCGTTAACAAACACTATATCGAGAGCCTCACAAAATTCTTGAAGCATACACTCTCTGGAATCTGTATATCTGTTGAAGTCTTCTAAATGAGCATTCCTGCCTCCTAATATAATTATTTCCCGATTTGTTCTAATTTCCCCAACATCTTTGGAAATAAACGTGAAGTTCTGTGCATTTTCCTCTCTTGAATCAGTTCAGGCTTTCAGATGTACAAATCCTATAAGCGTGTCTAAACCTCTGAGATTAAATGTTAACCACAGGCGTTCTCGGCAGCTTTTCCTCACCCTTTTCCAGCCTGTTATTTCACTAGCGCTCCCAATCCACCTCCTTTACGTTCCCCTCCACATCAATCGCATTCCTCCCAGAAATTACCTGCCAAGTAATATGTTTCCTCCATCATTCAATCACGTCATTCAATTATGTCATGTGGTGGTAGATGTAGGACGTCCTTCGATCCTGCATGTACCACCACAAGGTTTTCCTGCCCCTTGTTCAAAGTCAATATTCCGACCGCAGTGTACATCATCTCCTTCATCCTTCTGCCTGGGAGGGCTGCAACGTTTACACTCCAATCTCCCCCAACTCTACTGGCGATCACCGCTGTGCACGTAGACACGTTAAAGCTTCTTACCACCAACACACTCTGCACTCTTTTCTTTTGGTTTTCTTGCATTGCAGGTTTAGCGGCTGCCGGAGTTGGGGGCTGCCGTTGCACCGCCGTACTGTACAACGGCCTCGATGCCTTTCCAGCCACACTAGTGTCTACGTCCTCTGCCCTCTTGTTCTCTACAACCGGCACTGCAACAACTGCTCCTCCCTCTGTCCCCTGTCAGTTCGTCTTCAGCAGCTGATGTCCGACCCTTTCTAACTCATTTTCCACCACCTGTCGCCCTTCCTTCTCTTTCGTCAACCTGGTCACAATTTGAAATTCCGCTGCTTTATGTTTATCTTTGTAGGATGTTTGCGTCACCTTCACCTCCTCCAGCTGACCTTGCCAGGCCTTCTCTAGCACCTCTCCTTTCTTTCTCTCATTGCTAAATTCCGTCCGCACATCCTTTAATTCCTCAAACATAACCCCGCAGTCTCTTTCTATCCTCTTAAAACCAACCCCAAGATTTTCGAATTCGGCCCGCTTTTCCCGTTCCTACCTGAGCTCATCGTTCAGCTCCTTGCCGTGTGCCTCGAGCACAGCCCGTTTCTCCATTTCCCTCTTGACCTCCCCCTCAGCTCCTCAAACTTAGCCGCCCACTTTTCTACCTTTGTAGAACCGACGTCAAGATTTCACTGGCGTCACTTTTTTGTGGTTCCCAGTAGAGACTGTTTGAAAAACACGACGAGGAACAAAATTGTAAATTCAATACCTTTGCGAAAGCAATATTTGACCTAACACCTGGGACACTATTTCAGCAATATTTGTTGGTGTCTTTATAAAATTTTCAGACAAATTGGGCACCATGAAGAAATCTTCATAGTACCCCTTAAAGGGGTCATGAAACGATATCGAGTTGGAATGTTCATGACTTTACAGAGCTGCAGTGGTCCTAGTCCCTGCCAAGTAAACTCGCAAGGACCGCTGCTGATTCACAAGTTTCTTGGTCACGGTGAAATTGGGAGGCTAAAAAGGGACTATTTCTTTCAGTCTTGCCTTCGCAAAGCTCGATTAATAAATTGTAGAATCGAAATCACCCGGCTGACGAGAGTCGAGTGCGGATCATGGATTGGACGCGAGAACTGTGGAGGCACTCGACATCGGCTAGTAACAATCATTGACTCGGCGGACACTAGTGTAGCGGCTCGTGCTCAACCACTGTAGCAATGAGAATAGCGGAGCTCTTACACTGACTGCAGCATACGATAGGTACCAGGCCACGTGGCGGTTTGTTCTGATTCCCAGAAAAGAGGATAAACTATGCTCATACTCATCGAGTATATTCGCCAACTATCATTGCTTAGAAGGAAAGACTACGGCACTTTGTTTCGTTTATTAACGTTAGAGAGTAATTCTGAATAGTGTTTCGGGAAAGTAGAAAAATGGTTTCATGGGCCCTTTAAGCGAGACTGCAGCCAAAGCTTAAAGCGCGCACTCACACGTTCTACTGTAGCACTGAGACGTGCATTTCTAGCGCGAGTGATCGCATAGTGGAAGAACTTTTCAAAGCAGCGACCTTGTGCTCTCGTGCCTGTTGCGTTGGCTGCAGTCTCAGTTCAGAGGTGCCCTGAGGGTGGAGGGGGGGGGGGGGGGGGTTTCTGAGATCGCCCAACTATTACGATCACTCACTCTACTGGCTTTAAGCATCCTAGAAATACCTGTATCAGGACAATTCGCGGCCGATTTCTCTATCAAAAGACATTCAAAGATCGCTACAGACCGATGTCATCTCCTGCGATGGGAGGAGCATGTTCCGAAATCAGAACCACTGTCAGCCATTAGCAAGAGAAGAATCATCACGCCTTCGACCGATGGAACCGGGGAGTGATATCTCGAATGCTCGCGGCTTCTTTCTCATACAGCCTGGACTAGAATTCAATACAGAGAGCGAGCGCTGTAGAGCTGGCAACCTTACATATTACTCCCGCAAAAAGACAAAGACGAGGAAAAAAATTACACCATCTTCCCGAGGGGAACCATGGGGTGATGCGGAGCATCGCGGATCGTTATTAACGGTGTTATTAACGGTGTTAGTAACGTTGTTAAACCTCACGGTCCCGAACCTCAGGTTCTGCTGCTCGACGTTCACAAACCGCCGCTGCTTCACGTTGTCGTAGTTCAGCATCCGCCGCTCGACGTTGACGAATGGACGCCGCCTCTCGTTGCCGTAGTTCAGGATCTGCCGCTCGCTTCAAGCGTTTGCGCTCAGCGTCGCGTGCCCTTCGCTGCGCAGCTTTGTCTTCAGTGGACGTAGCGTCGCTGTTAGTTTGTGGGGTGGTGCTGAGGCTTGCTTGCGCCAACCCACTAACTGACGGGACTGTAGCTTCCATCACACTTCATCGGAAGAACGGAGTGAAGTGGAGTCAACAGCGGGTGAACTGAACGCGCGCAGCGCGCTACCGCTGCTTATATTCACACTTGAAGGAGAGGAGACTAGAGGTGGAGAGTTGCGCATGCGCGCGCGGTGTGAGTAGAAGCGAACGCACGTGAAGTGCACGCAGCTGGTAAAGGGAGAGAGAGCGGAAAGAGTAACGCGCAGCTGTTGGCGAGAGGGAAGGAGGAGAGTTGCGCATGCCCAGTGTGAGTGCGGACTACGACGCCGCGGGACATAGACCCGAGCAAGAGATGCTCCGCATCTAAAAAAAAAGTACTCCCCTGTTTTTTTAGACGATTATTACATTACAATGTCTCAGCGCAAAATTAGCATTTTTCGACTACTCTTCTTTGCTTTTATCATCTACAAAAGCATAATATTTTGCAATAACAGCGTTTCCAATCTTAACGAAATGTTGCCTTTTCATTGCTCAGATGTCGTCCTGGAAGCTGAAACAATCATCCTCCCATCACCGAGATGACTTCGGTGTGTCGCGATCTTTGAGTGCTATTTTGATAGGGAAAGCGACCGCGCATCGTTACGATTCATGAATTTCTAGGATGCTCAGAGCCCACAGAGCGATTTATTGCCATATTTAGGCGATCTGAGAAACCTTCCAAGGAAACCTTCAAGAGTGAACGAAGTACCCGCCATACCGGTGTGCTGATGTGTATCGCTACAGTGTGGTGAACTTTACAGACCAAGGGCTAGCAGCTGTACTGCACTGTCATTTACAGAGTAAACCAGTATCGCCGCACCTCAAAACTAGACCGAACTTGCGCTGCCTAAACGCGAACGTTCAATTTTCATTTTTTGGAGGGGGAGAGGTGTGCGATGCCTTGCGTTTATTTCGATTCCTTCCACCTAAATGGCATCTAATTGCCTCTGTGGCCGGAAGTAAAAGCGTTGCGGAGAGTCAAAGACTGACTGAATGCATTCATGACTGGTAACATGCTGTGTGATCAAAGCAGAGAAATCAAATGAAAGGGTACATCATTATCAAATAACCAAGAAAAAAAAAACGATAGGCTGTGAGGGTAGCATCTCCAAAGTCACGCGCTCGAGATCATAAGGCTGCTCAGAACTCTCCGAGTAGACATGCCGAGGAGCAGTTCTTTTATCTATCTCTAATAGGAAATCTGAATGTCCAGTTTTTTGGCACAAGGGATTCGCTAGACAGCATCACCTAAATCGGTCTCCGAAGTGAACTCATCTTGTGCCAAAATTGCATAGGTCACTTTCTATTTTTTTCAGATGCTTTTAAAGATGGAAAAGTAATGACCCCCGAGATATCTGCGAACGCTCTCGTCCACATCCTCGAACACCGAAAGTTCAAGTCGGGTGCACGTGTCAGTTTCTCGCCTGATCTTATAAAAGTAGGGTCGACATCTGGTTCAGACTGAGGGTTCGGCAAGATGGGACCACTGTTGTCTACATTTCGGGCAAGAATCGCTCTGGGCTAATTGGGAGTTTTAGTAGCTCGTACCGGGAACTATACCCAGTACTCCGCCTGCAGCTTCGCACATGCAACGTTTCGGTATTAGGTATCCTCGTAGCAGTTATCGGAACGACGTACCAAAACTCTGTAATATGGGTATCGTTATGGAAGAGTGAGAAGGATCCGATTTGCTTAAACTCTATGGTCTCTTCTCTCTTTCTCTCTCCCCCCTCTGTGCCTGTTTATTTAAGCCCAACCAGCAGATAATTGATCGTATGTATGCCCGTCAACTGTGCGAAGAAATAAAAATTTCGATTTCACAAATTGTATCGTCATCTCTGCATCTATAGAAATCCACATTGTGCAGGTGGTCTTTGCTAGATGCGCAAAAGGGTGCCCAGCAGGACGGCAAAGACAGTCATATGTTTAGGCTTGAAAAATGAATCTGCGTTGTGAAACTTGTATGATGCCTCATCATGTTGTAATGCCACTGAAGAGCATTTTATTTTTATTTTCTTAGGCCTAAAATAGTATCAACCTTGACATTGGCCGTTTCACTTCAAAGCAAAAATGTGTACATGCGCGCATCTTCCAAACTTCACAGGTTCCGACAAAAAAGGTCCTAGGATCCTAAGAACTTCTTACGAGTTGTGAATGCGAAAACATGAATGCCGTTCTTCCGCTCACTCAGTTTGTCTGCGACGTAGTGGCCTGAGTGGCCACGTTTCACTACTGCCGAGGTAGTGGCCGACGATCAAGCGCACGCTCTCGCGAGCCGCGCTGAGCTTGGCTGTACAACGTCCTCCGAGTTCGCCCGAACGGGCTCTGTCGCCAGGCGGCCAGGCCCGCACCGGAGCCCCTCGCCAGGCCTCTGCGTGCGCTGCGCCGCCTTTAGAGAGGGCTTCTTTGGTGGCTGTTTTTAGAACTACGCCGCACGACAGCCAATGGGAGCCTCGTTCCTTGATGACGCGCGCCAGCCAATGGGGGCGTTATCTATCAGAGATCGGCTTCACTTCGCTCCTTCTGGAGAGGTGAATATATCTGCCGTAAGGTGTGGTTTTTTGCGCGGCTTCAGAGCTGAAATGCTTCAGATGGCGGCTTCACTCGCTCCAGTGAGACAAAGGAATTTAGGAGCCTTCTTGCGCGGCTGATGACGTCGGCTCGCCCTATGAGACAGTTAATGCCTCCGCACTAATAAAATGGGTTTTTCAGCTATGATTCTACTGCCCTGTCGCTTCATCTAGAATGTGCTTGCCTGCTCATTCAAATGCGACAAACATGCGCCGTTTTTTTTTTTTTTTTTTTTTTTTTCATTGCAAATTACGATAGGGGAGTCATATGAAAACCTTAATATTGCAACAACATTTCGAAATACGGGACATTCACCTTTAAGGCCTCATTCGCACTGCCGTTTCGTCGCCCGTTACGGCGCCAACGGAGAAGGCGCCGTGCAGAGAAAGGGACGGTGGAGTGCACCAAAAAGCGGCGACTGAGCTGCCGGCGGCGGCTACATGGATTGATGGATGAATGCTGGTGGCCGTACCCCTATATTGGACGGTAGCTTGAGCCACAAATTCGAGAAACCTTCCTGAGCATTTTATAATTTTGCGCCGAACGTTTGCGGCCCGTTAGACTGCATAACCATGCAACCCATTAATTTTGCGCGCAATTTGAAACTTCCACATTCACACACGGCACTGCTGATTCAGTGTCGCGTGTTTCTCATGGCCGCCGCTCGCGGCTGCAGGTCGGGAGATATCTTAATTTTTGCCGCGCGATTACGCGGCGGAATCGCAACATTTAGAAGGAAGGAGGTGTATTTTCTGTCCTTTGTGAAAAGATGAACAATGTCCAAAGTAGAAGATGCCGATTTTTTCGACGTTAAAATCGTTGCACAACTCCTTTAAGGAGAACGCCTTGTCTCTATTAGCTTCGGATAGGGAAAGGTGGTTTTGCGCTCTTTCAATAGACTTTTACTAAAGTTATTAAGCCATGACATCTGTTTTCTGACCAGTAAGGAAAATTGCCCTACCCAAGAAAAAATCCGGGTCCAAAACCTTTGTAAAAAGCAAAGCCTCGAACAACTAGGTAAAATATCGAAGCAGGGCGAGCACGTAACATAAATCTGTGCTTCAAGGGATACTGAACCAAAGAATTTAGTGCCCATAATAAGTGGCGCACGTTGTTTCCACGAACCAGCAGCCGCCGGTGTGCGCGAGCACACGCATCAAAAATGACGTCACAGACCTCCATTTGCGGTTGAGATGACAGTGAAATGCATGGGCTTCGGACTAAAGGAGAATAAAGACAAGCTTTTCTTCTCTACAAGTGAAAGCTACGTGCTTGTTAGACAAATTCATCGCTTACCTTTTACACCAGACACCACTGTGTAGATGAAAAACTTGTCTTTATCCTTCTTTGGTCCGAAGCCCATACATTTGACTGTCATCTCAACCGCGAATGGAGGTCTGTGACGTCATTTTCGTTGCGTGTGCTCGCGCACACCGGCGGCTGCTGGCTCGTGGAAAGAACGTGCGCCACTTATTATGGACACTGAATTCCTTGGTTCAGTATCCCTTTCACGGCCAAGACATACAAGATAGATTGCCCGTTTCGTGTCAATGTCTCGGAGGCTGGCACATGAGAAAAGCCTGTACCTATGTTTTTGCAAAACAAAATTGTGTTAACCTGTTGAAGAGCGACTATGCCTCTCTCGATCGTGGGTAGTTTGGAAGAATTTATTTCCTTTCTCACGGACACCATTACACGGTTTACCTGGCCTGTTCGGTCCAGATCAAAAATATATGGGTGATTTCATCTCAACTCAAGCACGGTTTTTGAGTCGAATTTTTAATTTTGACAAAATATATATATATATATTTTGGGGCAATTCATATGATAAACGAAGACGCAAACGGCCATGTCGTCGGTATTTTTGTTCTGAAGTTATAGACCGTTGAAGCGGCCAAGGTGGAAACTGACGTTATTCCAGCTTATCAGAGATGCCATATTTCACTCCATCCCTTTTTCCTACTTTTTACGCTGCATCAATATAACTTTTTAGGAACGCTCTAGACATGTGCTTTTTCATGCTGATTAAGCGTCTAGGTAATAGCATTTTTAATGATTTTTTTTTGTCAAACCGGCTCTCTGCGACGATATTTGAAGAAGTTCAGAAAATTGTGCTGTGTGATCTAATCAACATATTGTTATGATCTTTATATCACCGTAAAGCTCCAGTTAAGCTTTTTCTTTTGAGTATAATTTCAAAATTTTGCAAAAAGTATATAACGCGCTACATGTGCCTGAAAAACGAAAATGTTCAAAAACTGGCAAGTTTGGGGTCGATTTTCTAAAAAGAAATCACTTTTTATTTCTTTCATTTTTTATTTACAGTTAGTTTATATAGCATTGTCTCAGAAAGTACCAACAGAAATTGCAATAAATTGTTTTCATGGCCGCTATTAAGACTCGAATCCAGTCTTAATAGCGGCCATGCAAACAGTCTTAATAGCAAGAATATTTATCCTAAGAATATGTATTTACTTGGCACTGGCGTGATTTGCAATGTGTGTGAGCTTCGCCCTATGTATTGATGGAGAAGACACGTAACATCTAAACTCTCGGACAAACTTAAGTCAAGAGGAAAAAGTCTAAATAACTCGGCATGAATCACTGAAATAGAAATGAAAGCTAAACACATGACTAACACGTTTGAAGCCTTACACGCTACGAAATGCTTGTTATTTTACGAAAGAGCCCGTACGCGCACAATATAGCGAGTTTTAGAATAGGGTGCCCCAAAGCTTTGGGTGGCTTAAACAGCTCGGGGCATCGCAGTGGGCATGCGCAGAGGTTCTGCACATGCGCAGTGGGACGCCCCAAGCTGTTTGGGGCACCCAAAAGCTGTGGGGCCCCCTATTCTAAAACTCGCTAAAAAACCGTACTTCCTATGCTTCAGATACTAAATCGTACATATGTATATGCACTGCATATATCTTTGACATAAAAAAATATGACAATTACATGTCAAGTTTGGTATTTCAAACTCAAAGCCGAAACAAAAGGCCTTAGAGGAATTCTCTTACGATCTGCATTCTCCCGTATTGGGAGGAAGTAAGCGCTGGGGGCGCCCGCACTTGTGGATACAAACTTCGAAGTAAATTTTTTTAAAGTATGCGCTTCTAAATTTTATTAATGTTTATGGTTGGATATTCAGGTAACTGCTAACGATAAATAGAAAACCGTACATAGGCCGAAATTCTGCTCAGCAAAGCGCCTGTGCGAAGTCCCGTTCAATACGCTCATAGCACGACATTCGAGTCTTAATAGCGGCCATGCAAACAATTTATTTCAATTTCTGTTGGTAGTTTCTCATAGACTGCTGTATTAGCTAACTGTGAATAAAAAATGAAAGGAATAAAAAGTGGGCTTTTTTAGAAAATCAACTCCAAACTTGTTAGTTTTTCGAAATTTTCGTTTTTCAGGCACATGTAGCACATTATATACATACTGTAAGATATTGAAATTATTCAACAAAGAGCTTAATTGGAGCTTTACGTTGATATAAAGATCATAAAAATATGTTTATTAGATCACACAGCATAGTTTGCTGAACTTCGTCAAATATCGTCGCAGAGAGCCGGTTTGACAAATAAAAGAAAAAATGCTATGACCTAGACGCTTAATTTGCATGAAAAAGCACATGTCTAGAGTCTTCCCAAAAAGTTAGATTGATGTAGCGTAAAAAGTAGGGAAAAGGGAGGGAATGAAATATGGCACCTCCGATAAGCTGGAAAAACGTCAGTTTGCACCTTGGCCGCTTCAACGGTCTATAATTTGAGAACGAAAAATCCGACGACATTGCCGCTTGCGTTTTCTTTTATTATAGGAATTGCCCCAAAACATATACTTTTGTTTTGTCAAAATTAAAAATGCGGCCCAAAATTCGTGCCTGAGTTGAGATGAAATCACCCATATAATATTCGGTACCTCACAAAGAACCTTTCACCTGCTTTAGAAATCACGGAGAACAGCTCAAAAGAGTAAAGCTCACCGCAAAACCGGCGGATACGAAGGAAAGCTGACTGGCCATTGAGCGGATTCGGAAAACAACTCGCCGATTTTTTTCTTGTTTTCATATACAGGTTGTCGGA